GGAGATGACAAAATTAAATGACCAAGGTAATGAAATCAAGGAATTTGCATCAGAGACAGTGAGAATTTTGCAAGATGAGGTGGCTAAGTATTAAATGTAGCATACATCATTTGCCATGTTTTAGAAAAAAAGTCCACAATCAACTACCTATGTGGTAGGAGGATTTTTCAGTACACATTAATATCTAGCAATAGGATTTATGTCTGAATTCAAAATCTAAACTAGAGTGTGAGGAGGAAGGCCAACCAACAAAGAGCTTTCAGAAAACCATCCAGCTCCATGGCTGGATGGTTTCCTGAAAGTCGGTCAGCTGTCTGAAAGTCGGTCAGCTGAACTTCTCTTGACCCTTGAAAACAGGGCCGTAGCCATAGCTGGGGGGGGGGCGGTAAAAGTTCAACCCTGTCCTGAAATGTGTCAGAAACCTGGTTTACTCATAAATTGGTTAAAATTCGTGAGTAAACCAGATTTGGGGGGGAGGGGGGGTTGAACCCCTTGGGGAGGGGGCTTGAATCCTTAAACATCCCGACCCCCACCACCACCACCACCACCACCACCACCCCGCTACGGCCATGTTTGAAGGGATCACAAAGTCATAACAGCCTCTTCTGCACACAGTTATTGATGTTTCTTGCATATCTAAATCTATGCTTTTTCCTCTTACATTGAATGCCTTTTTAAACTCCCTACCCTATCTACACTGGCATATGAAATCCAGATTTTCTGCTTTGAATTAGATTATATAGCAGTGTAGACTCATATAATCTAATTCAAAGCAAGAAATTTGGGTTTTATATGGCAGTGTAGAAAGAGCAGAGGCTGGATCTACACTGCCCTCTATTCCAGGATCTTATCTCAGATTATCTGTGGTGTAGAAGGGACCATATTTGCAGGGAATGTTGGTCAGTCCTTAGGCTTCACTTAAAATATAAGGTTACAATGAATTTTATCTACTTTTTCATACCATCTTTCAACAGAAATGGGAGAATCAAACAGACAACATCGAGACAAGATTACCAAGTCAGAGGCTGAAATGGAATGCAGTCCAGCAAGTTTGTAGGCTCATTTGTGTGCAAATACAACAGACCTGTCTTCTTCCTACTCACTTTTTAAAAAGTGTTCACCTTTTCTCAAGTTCAGAATATATATTTTTTCAATAGAAGAACAGATCTTTCCTCCTTGAACAGTATAACATCCTAGAAATAGAATCACCAATAAGTTATTATCTAAATTTTAAAATAAAAATGTAATATTCGTTTGTGGGATTAACATAACTCAAAAATCACTGGACGAATTGACACCAAATTTGGACACAAGACACCTATCAGGCCAACGAGTGACCATCACTCATAAAAACACTGAAAAACACAACAGAAGAGACTTAAAAAACAAAAAAAACATATATACACAAACACACATTATATTTGTTAAAATTGTTCTTCATTTTAATTATTATGTTGTTTTAAAGTGTTTTTTGCACTACAAATAAGATATGTGCAGTGTGCATAGGAATTCATTTTTTTTCCAAATTATAATTATACTTATATATTTTATTACATGTAATATTACTAATAATATTACAATATAATGGTATAGTGCAATATAGTAATATATACTGATATTGTACTATGCTAATAATATAATATATTGTATGAAAATATATATTGTAAGCCACTCTGAGTCCCCTTCGGGGTGAGAAGAGCGGCATATAAATGCCGTAAATAAATAAATAAATAATTTTTTCAAATTATAATCCTGCCCTCCAAGAGTTTGAGGGACTGTGACCTAGCCCTCTGTTTAAAAAGTTTGAGGACTCCTGGTGTAGAGTATTGTTTATCCAGCCTTCGTTCATCCAACATTCTGTATTATTCAATGCAGTCTGCCTCCTGCCCAGATCCACAGCTGTTTCAATACATTGTGATGTTTTGGTGTTAAATTCATAAATGGAGTAATGACTACATAATGTTACCATGTATTGAATTGCTTTTTCTGTCAATTTGTTATAGAAAATGATGTTTTGGTCCTTAATATGTAAAATCATAACGTAATTTGATGTTTAACAGGCTTTTCCTTAATTCTTCATTATCCAACATTTTTGCTTATCCAACATTTTGCCAGCCTGTTTTCGCTGGATAAGCAAGACTCTACTGTATGTATTTTTTCAAAATTATTTATTTAAAACATTTATACTCCGCCCATCTCAACCTCCGAAGAGGGACTCAGGATGGCTTCCAACAGGCAACCATTCAGTGCCGACACAATATAAAACTTATCATAAAATACAACCATATACAGTTATAAATCTATATAAATAAAAATGTAAGGTTCATTTGTGGGATTAACAAAACTCAAAAACCACTGGATGAACTGAGACCAAATTTGACCACAAGACACCTACTAATCCAAGGAGTGACCATCAGTCAAAAAGTGTTTTTGTCATTTGGGAGTTGTAGTTGCTGGGATTTATAGTTAACCTACAATCAAAGAGCATTCTGAACTCCACACAGTGGAATTGAACCAAACTGGCACACAGACTCCCATGACCAACAGAAAAAACACTCGAAGGGTTTCGTGGGCATTGACCTTGAGTTTGGGAGTTGTTGTTCACCTCCATCAGAGAGCACTTGGACTCAAACAATGATGGATCTGGACCAACGCCCAAATATGAACACAGATGGAGTTTGGGGAAAATAGACCTTGACATTTGGGAGTTGTAGTCACTGGGATTTATAGTTCACCTACAATCAAAGAGCATTCTGAACCCCACGAAGACAGAATCGGGGCAAACTTCCCACACAGAACCCCCATGACCAACAGAAAATACTTAAGGCCATCCAATCCAACTCCCTTCATTAGGGCAAGAAAATGTAATCAAAGTCCTCCTGACAAAGAGCCATCCAGCCATAGAGATAGATAGATAGATAGATAGATAGATAGATAGATAGATAGATAGATAGATATGATTCACACACAGATATAGTATCATAGATTTGAAAGGGACTCCTAAAGAAGGACAATTATATGTTTCATGTTCCAAAGTAGGCAAACTAGACAATCTCCATATCAACACTGGCAAAGAAACATGAAATACTGTTTACCCACAAGCATAAAGAAATTGCATATATTAGAAACCAACTCTTTCTAATTACTTTATTTTCCAGATCATCAAACTAGGCTACAACAACACATAGTAGGGGACAGCTAGTATACATTAAAAACAGTTTGCCAGGTTAAAATCATCATTCAGATCAGTCCATTGTGGTCACATTATGTTCCATAATGTGGTACACATTATGGAACATGTTTCATTATCTCATAAGACAGCTTGCAGTTCCTCAAACACAGCTTTCACTGTATGAAAGGCTCGTTGATAGAAATCAGAAAAGAGAAAAGTACTCGCTCCCCAGCGAAATCAGGTCAACAACATCCCTCCTCACCTTCAGGAGGAAATTAAAAACGTGGTTATGGGACCAGGCCTTTAGGTAGCTGGCAGATAATTGACAATGGAAATAATGATAATGTTATGGAAAAGGTTTCTGATTGTGTTGTGCTCACTGAATTTGTTTCTACATAAGGCTAGACAGCCAGTATTATTGCACTTTTATTAATGTGCTTTTTACTTTAAAACTAATTTTAAAATTAATTTGCTATGTGTAATCGTATAGAATCTATATATATATATAAATGCTCTATGCATAATGAGTACCTTAAAAACAAAAGAACCAATGAACGAAATCACACCAAATTTGGCAACAAAACGTCTCACAACACAAGGAGTGACCATCACTCAAAAATTATGATTTTGTCATTTGGGAGTTGTAGTTACTGGGATTTATAGTTCACCTACAATCAAAGAGCATTCTGAACTCCATCAATGATGGAATTGAACCAAACATGGCACACAGGCCTCCCATGACTAACAGAAAATACTAACAGCATTTGGTGGGCATTGACCTTGAGTTTGGGAGTTGTAGTTCACCTACACCCAGAGAGCACTGTGCACTCAAACAATGATGGATCTGGACCAAACTTGGCATGAATATTCCATATGCCCAAATAGGAACACAGATGGAGTTTGGGGAAATAGACCTTGACATTTGGGAGTTGTAGTTACTGGGATTTATAGTTCACCTACAATCAAAGAGTATTCTGAACCCCACGAATGACAGAATTGGGGCAAACTTCCCACAGAACCCCCATGATCAACAGAAAATAGGCCATCCAGTCCAACTCCCTTCACCAGGGCAAGAAAACGTAATCAAAGCCCTCCTGACAGAGAGCCATCCAACCATAGATATAGATAGATATGATTCACACACACACAGATATAGTATCATAGATTTGAAAGGGACCCTAAAAAAGGACAATTATATGTTGCATGTTCCAGAGTAGGCAAACCAGACAATCTCCACATCAACACTGACAAAGAAACACAAGAAATACTGTTTACCCACAAGAAACACAAAGAAATACTGTTTACCCACAAGCATAAAGACATTACATATATTAGAAACCAACACTTTCTCATTACTTTATTTTCCAGATCAACAGACTGGGCCACAGCAACGCATGGCAGGGGACAGCTAGTTATTATATGTAACGGCATTGAATTGTGCTGGATGTAGGCCACCTGAGTCGTCGTCGTCGTCGTCCCCCCCCCCCCGGTTGGGGGGTTGAGAAGGGCGGGGTACAAATGTTTGAAATAAATAAATAAATCTTTGCTCCTTTCTTTAACAAATATCTGGGGGTGAAGGACTGTGATTGTTATAAGTCACAATAAACCTTCAAATAGTTTCTTCTTAGTATCCATTAAAGGCACAGTGTGAAAATCTCTTGATTACTGTTCATACCCAACCTAATAAGTTACATTTAAGACATGTTTTAGATCTGGTAAAAAGATTGAATATAGGTTTTTAAAATTGAACATAGGTTTTAAAACATTTCAAGCAAGCCCATTTAATGCTTGAATATAAAAAACAGCAGTTTAGGAAATGGTTACATACCTGTGAATATAATATCCCCATAGTTTTCCTTTAGACTATCACTGGAATCCTTTCCTCCTGGTTGAAGCAGCAGGCACTTGACTTTCTATCACCCTTCAATTGGTTTAAATGATTATAACGTAAGTTGCAACGCCTCCTCTGAGCAAGAAAAAGGCTCAGGGATTGTATGCTTTCAACACGTGCACCCTATGATTGCCACAAGTGCTTTCTTAGTCAGGCACGCAAAGAACCAATTGTATTTCAGAAGCCCAACCCAGTGAGACAGAGGGGAACGTCAATTTAGTAAAGGCTCACTACTTAGTACAAGTTACAACAGAGAGAAAGTTGACTCACATCATCAGTTTAGCAACATACATTAGAGGTTCCTGGGAAGGAAGCTGTCGAAACAACAGCAGGGGATGAATTAGGATTTGTCCACTTTGTAAACGGTATCTTTTCAAACAGACTGTCAATGTGAGAGAAGCTGTAAAACCAGAATTGGCAGAATCGTTGCATTGCTCTCGTATAGTTTATTGGCAGCAATAGAACATAATGCCCACAAACCGCAAAACAATTTTAAAAAAATTACATACACACCTATACACATACAACTGGCAATTATAAACCATATTGTGACTTGCAAAAGGATCCTGGGCTGCCTTTACTGCCAGGTATTTCACTTATAACTTGACTGTACTTTCAAGTCTCCATTGACTAATGGAGGTCCCATGAATTCCATTGGGTTTTCTGAGACAAGGAATCCTTAAAGGTGGTTTTTCCAGTTGAAACGTAGCCTACAGCACTTGGAATTCCTTGGCGGTCTTCCATCCAAATACAAACAAGGGATGACTCCCATTTAGCTTCCAAGATCAGACATAATCTGGTGCTTTTAAGGAATTTAAGAGCTGTATTGTCGAAGGCTTTCATGGCCAGAATCACTGGGTTGTTGTAGGTTTTTCGGGGCTATATGGCCATGTTCTAGAGGCATTCTCTCCTGATGTTTCGCCTGCATCTATGGCAAACATCCTCAGAGGTAGTGAGGTCTGGTGGAACTAGGAAAATGGGTTTATATATCTGTGGAATGACCAGGGTGGGACAAAGGACTCTTGTCTGTGAATGTGAATGTTTCAGCTGATCACCTTGATTTGCATTCAATGGCTTGGAAGTGCCTGGGGGGAATCTTTTGTTGAGTGATTTTATGTGCCTGTTTGTTTCCCCTCTGTTGTTTTGCTGTTGTAATTTTTGAGTTTTTTAATACTGGTAGCCAGATTTTGTTCATTTTCATGGTTTCCTCCTTTCTGTTGAAGTTGTCCACATGCTTGGATGTCAATGGCTTCTCTGTGTAGTCTGACATGGTGGTTGTGAGAGTAGTCCAGCATTTCTGTGTTCTCAAATAATAAATGTGTCCAGGTTGGTTCATCAGGTGCTCTGCTATGGCTGACTTCTCTGGTTGAAGTAGTCTGCAGTGCCTTTCATGTTCTTGGATTCTTGTTTGGGCGCTGCGTTTGGTGGTCCCTATGTAGACTTGTCCACAGCTGCATGGTACACGGTAGACCCCTGCAGAAGTAAGAGGATCCCTCTTGTCCTTTGCTGAACGTAGCATTTGTTGGATTTTCTTGGTGGGTCTGTAAGTGGTTTGTATGTTGTGTTTCCTCATCAGTTTCCCTATGCGGTCAGTGGTTCCCTTGATGTATGGCAAGAACACTTTTCCTCTGGGTGGATCTTCATCTTTACTCTCGTGGCTTGTTCTCGGTTTTGCAGCTCTTCTGATTTCTGAGGTGGAGTATCCATTGGCCTGTAGAGCCCAGTTGAGGTGGTTCAGTTCATCTTGGAGAAGGTGGGGTTCGCAGATTCTTTTTGCACGGTCTGCCAAGGCTTTAATTCTACATAGGGACCACCAAACGCAGCGCCCAGACACGCATCAAGGAACATGAAGGGCACTGCAAACTACTCCAAACCAGAGAAATCAGCCATAGCAGAGCACCTGATGCTCTCTCCTGACGTTTCGCCTGCATCTATGGCAAGCATCCTCAGAGGTAGTGAGGTCTGTTGGAACTAGGAAAAAGGGGTTTATATATCTGTGGAATGACCAGGGTGGGACAAAGGACTCTTGTCTGCTGGAGCTAGGTGTGAATGTTTCAACTGCCCACCTTGATTAGCATATAATGGCCTGACAGTGCTTTTTTTAAGATTTAAGAGCTGTTTTTTAAACTATGCTCAAAATTCCTAAAACTTCGTCAGTTTTAGAGTTGACTGTACGCAAAGTTTACTGAAACTTTTCAGACTGAGAAGCTTGTAGTTAGTGAACTGCTAATCAACAAGAACAACACGCTCTTCCAGTTTTTTAAAAATGGAACCCCACCCTATATCAACATTAAAATAATTTCCTATTTAAATTAAGCTGAAATATGCTGTTATTGTATCTCTATGGTTTTAATTTTAAATGTAGATGAGAAGTATTGCTACTGCATGTTGTAGAAACAATTTTGCCTTCAAGTCATTTACAACTTATCATCAGGTTTTCTTGAAAATATTTGTTCAGAGACGGTTTCTTTTGCCTTCTTCTGAGGCTGAGAGAGTATGACTTACCAAGGTTACTCAGTGAGCATCCATGGCTGAGCAGGGATTTGGACCCTGATCTTCAGAGTTTTAGTCCAATGATCAAACCACTACACCATGCTGCCTATGATGAAAATTGATTAAACTGTTTATCAAAATGCATTTGTAAGTATTTATTAATCATGCTTTCTTCAACAAGTGATAAATGATTGGAAACCTGTTTCATAAATATACACCAATTTAAAAGTGGGGAGAAACAGAATGAATGACAAAATTTCACCAGTTTAAAACTTGTCGAAACCAGTATGAGACAGAGATCCTGCATTTAGAGAAGTATTTAAATTTCTGAAGTGGTGGAAATGGGCCCCTTGGTGACACAGTGGGTTAAACCGCTGAGTTGCTGAGCTTGCTGACTTAAAGGTTGGCAGTTTGAATCTGAGGAGTGGCCTGAGCTCTTGCTGCTAGCCCCAGCTCTGCCAACCTAGCAGTTTGAAAACATGCAAATGTGAGTAGATCAATAGGTACTGCTTCTGGGGGAAGGTAATAGTGCTCCATGCAGTCATGCTGGCCACATGATCTTGGAGGCGTCTACAGACAACTCTGGCTCTTTGGCTTAGAAATGGAGATGAGCACCACCCTGTTGCACTCCAGGATAGGAAAAGCCCTCTGACTTTAAACACCACACGTTGAATAGAAAAACAATCCTTTTATTAGAGATAATTAAAAAGCAGGAAAGTAAAAAGCACTTTAAAGAAATAGGTAAATCCAATTAGGTAAGAAGATAAGCAGGAACAAAATAGTCCAGGGTAAAGTTCAGCAAAGTCCATGAAAACAAAGTCCACACTTCTCTAATATAATCCAGAAAACCAGGAAACATTAATCCAAGGCATGAGTATGTAGTCATAAAATCCAAGAATCAAAACCATGAAACAAGAAATACTTAAGCATGAATCTTCCAAGCTAGGCTTCCATGAAACAAGGACGAGAACTTAACTTGATTCCAAACGATGCTTCATCTGGCTACATTTCCTGTACTTGGGACTTTTATCCCCTCGTTAAGCTATCCCAAGCACTCAGAAATTGGTTTCACTTTAATTGAGATTCCCTTATCTTTTTCTGTCGGAGCCTGGCAGAACGCCGAAGCCACTGTTCGGCTTGTCTGTTTTGACTAATCTCCTGCTGTCTATCTATTTGCTCACTAACTTCTGCAGGTGCCGAGTTGTTTTCAAGCCCCAAATCCTGGGAACTCTCTGGTAGCAATTCAGGGAATACACCATTATCCCCACACCCTTCAGGGATATTCCATGGGAAACTACAGTTTGAACAGGGATGTCCTGTTCATTCTCTGCATCAATATCATTGACCAAACCATTGCCATCTTGAAACTCATTGACATCACTCCCCACATCCAAAGCACCCTGATCCTGAAACACAATCACAGGATGAGCTCCAACACACCCCAAAGGTGGAGATGAGCATCACCCTTCAGAGCTGGAATGGGAAGCCTTTACCTTTATCTGTGTTTTGTTGCTTCTAGACACTGGATGTTTGCCTTTGTGTTTGTGTATGTTAGAATCTGGCTTGAGTTCCCTCGGGGAGATGTGGCAGGATACAAATAAAGTTATTATATTATAAGAACCAGCTTGGACTGAAAGATCAATTTAGATCAGAGAGTGAGGAATGCTAATAAGCTTAGTCAGGATGCCCTATTCACTCCCCTCAAACCAAAGACTATGGGTCTCTGATCCCTTCATCTTACCACCAAGAAAATCTTTACTTTTACTTTAGTGGTAGATATACAATTCCCTCTCCTCCTGCAAACATACTTTCATTTGTTGTGCAAACACACTCCACCAGGAGTTACCATGGAAGATTAGAAGGTTGCTGAAAAACATCTGTAACATGTTCCTGAAACATCCATGCCATAGTATCTCAAATCTCTATATGGGACTCCAAACTCTGGATAGTGAAGAAAACTGCGAGGAAAAAAGCTACTCATTTGAAATGTGGTGCTGGACCAATAAAAAGACAAACGAATGTATCCTAGAACAAATTAGACCTGAACTCTCACTGAAACACAAAGGCTAGTGTAGTTTGGGTGTCTCTTATCTCTCTTAGGCGATCCCTCGTAGTTCAAGTAGGATTGTCATCCAAGATCGGTACACTGGCAGTCCATAGGTGACTGTGGTGACTATTCTTGATCTGCATCTTCTCCTGCAATGAGAGCATTGGTTTCCAGGTGGAAGGCGGTCCCAGTCGGGGTTGGCTTGATGCTCCTTCCTCTTGGAACGTTTCTCTCTTTCACCTTCCATTCGTGCCACTTCAAATTCTACAGCACTGCTGGTCACAGCTGATCTCCAGCTGGAGTGCTCAAGGGCCAGGGCTTCCCAGTTCTCAGTGCCTATGGCAGAGTTTTTAAGGTTGGCTTTGAGCCCATCTTTAAATCTCTTTTCCTGCCCACCAACATTCCGTTTTCCGTTCTTGAGTTCGGAGAAAGGCAATAATATGGAAATCCATAGAAAAAGAGGAAGATTGCGCTACAGTTGCAATGATTCAATAAAAGAAGCCACAGTTCTGATTTTGCAAGATCTGAGCAGAGTAGTTGATGTTCAAGGCTCTCAGAGGTACTTCATTCATAAGGTTGCCATAAGTCAAAGTACCATAATTTGCG